TTATCAGATATCGGCAGAAAAGCCAATATCGAGCATCCCTATTAAAAAGCAGTGATGTGTTTGAAAAGTTGATTATAAACTCTTTCGTCTTTGTTAATTTTCCTCTGAGAATAAATATACATTTTACAGTATTTAGTAGTTAATGAAGCCACCAGTGTTACTAGTGGAAAGGAAGATAAAGAGTTGCAAACAAAGACAAAGACAGGATTTGATTTGAGAGTGATTTAGATTTTGTGTGCAGGGGCAAAAATATAGACAAGTGCAGTTGCCTGTGGGGGCCTATCTGAAATACCTGTGTTAAAAGATCTATATAGGAATATATATATATAACTATTCAATTAATCATTTCTCATTTTAGTTTTTTATTTTTGTTATATAAGGCCTCTACTTTCTAGTTTCAAATCTCTATTTCGTCATGTGATGTCGTCAGCCAAGCAAACTTATGCTTGTGTGGCTGTGTGTGTGGTGGTAAGGGGCCGGGGGGGGTTGTTACTGACTCTTACTTACTGTTTGAAACTGAATGAGAATTAAACTCATCGCACGATTGCTACACTTTAAACTTATTATTCAAAGAAGTTACAACCCAATACAGAGTGACAATGAAGTTACGGGAACCTCAGTGTGTCGCCCATGTGATCAGGCCCACAGGAAACCCACACTGCAAAACAGCCCATCATGCAGGCCGACTGATGCAGCAGATTAGTGGTGTTATACTGTTTTTATGCATGGCTTCACTTTCGTTACTTGAGAATTATCTTATGATGCAGGACTGGCAGTATGGAGTGTGGACTGGTAGCTAGAGATGTGCCAGTTCGACCTCCTGGCCACCTGCAAGGCCCCTAACCCCAATTTCCTATTTATTTGTCCTTATAGCCCCTTATTGGGTTCATGTTCCATATTTACATTTTATCTGCATTGTTTGGTTTTGATTATTTATTTTTTTTGTACAGCACTTTTTTAACATTGTTAAGAAAAGTGCTATATAAATAAAGTATAGTATGTATGTATTATTTTATTAGTAGTAATAGTAACAGTACATTCAACAATGGTAGATTTTTTAAGATTTCTCAGCATCCCATGACTTAACTAACAGCATAACTGAAAATCTTACAGACATATTTGTGATCAGTCATCAAAAACAGCTTACTAGAAACAGGGGCAGAATTGCTCAGGGTGAAAGTCTCAGTTGCATCACTGGTGACGTCAATGAGGAAGGACCAGAGTATCACCATCTTGCTCGCTGATAAAGGGGGGGGTGTGGCCAGAGGTCCAACTGAAACGTTCAACCAGAGAGGGTAGTAAAACACTGCTTTTCAGCCTGGTATATTAACTTACTCTATAAACACCACCTACGTTAGATAAAATAATGGTACAGACAGAAGCACAGCTCCTTCTATGAGACAACATGTAGCCATTGGGTCAAAAATATGAGCTTGAGAAGTGCAAGCCTTTACAAACTTATACACGTATACGTAGACAGCAACATCAAGTTTAAATGGGAAGACATCAGAGACAGAGACAATATAAGGGGTTTAGACTGAGAAGTGCAAATCAAAGGGGACAAACGCCTTGATACAGGTACTGAGGTGAATGAACACCAAAGGAAGTCTTAAAAGCTTGTGGCTACCAAACTGTGCCTTTGTAAAAACAGCTACAGGAAGAATAGGTGCAACATAGGCCCTACATACATTTGAGAAACACAGCTACCCTGTTTTTTTCTCAAACTTAGCACCACAATGAGATAAAAGGTTGTCCAGCTTCAAGACCATACACCCAAATATAAGACAAGCAAATTAATAAGTCCAATGCACAGAGAATTGCAGACTTGTGCATTAGACAGTCAATACTCAGTCGACTTACATCTAAAATATAAGATTTTGAGAACATAAAAGTATTCATACTTATTGGACAGAGAAAACAGATGGTTTGAAAGAACAGTGAAGGAGGGGATCTGTGTCAACAGTTTCGAACAATGAGGGGCACCTCTCCATGGGAGGGGAGGATCAGTTTTTGAAATGTATTGAAATGTATTTGTTATAATGTGAAAAAAAAAATTACCAAATAAAATATTATGTGAAGTGAAAAGTCCATATTTTAAGTATCATATCTCTGTAATTGTTTGGAGGGTAAGGAAAGGCTGACATGTAAAACTTCCTGGAAGTGGTCTCAGAGCCCAGGTCTATGCATGCAGGCTTGTGATTTAAAAACATGACGGGTTCAAAACATATTTGCTTGAATCTTTTGAATGAAAATGAAAATTTTGAAAATGGTCCATGGGTTTGCGAGGATTTATGACAGATGACTTTGTCAGTTGAGTCTGGAAAGTTTCATTTTATGTCAAACCTTGGCAGCGGACTGACCAAGAAGAATTGTTCTTAACCAAACCAAAAGCAGAAACAAAACCACCTTTTGTTCGTAGAAGATATGTTTTGCTGTCATTCAGGCACTGCAAAGCCTTGTAAACAAGGTGTGATGCAACAGTGGTTAGCAGAGACCTTTTTTAAAATAGTCTGTGGTTTCCCAGCAAATCACACCTCAAACATACGCACATAACCTGCATAGTAATACTCACACATGCTACAGTAACAGGCTGCATCAGTATAGTATAGTTATGTCCCACTGAAAATTAAAGACTTCTATGGTTGTTGCAAGAAGACTGATCACAAATTAGATTAGATTAAATTAGATTCAACTTTAGTGTCATTGCACAAGTACAGGTACTAGGCAACAAAATGCAATTAAGCATCTAACCAGAAGTGCAAAGCAGTAACATGCAGAGTAATGTGCATATGTACAAAAATATGTAAAAGAAATAATAACATTATAGATATATTTAGGAATATACTAGCAGGATATTTACAGTATGAACAGTATTAACAGAATGAACGGAGTGAGGTAAAGACACTAAGTTACATACAGCTATTAAGTTGAGATATTTACAGTATGAACAGATTAGCAGTAAATTATATAGTGCGGATGTAAGTACAAGTAATTAAATTGGTTGACAGTATATACAGACAACTAGATATGATTATAGTGGTATATGGTTATTTATACACTATTATACCGCCCCCCAAAGAAAAAAATAAAATATAAATAAATAAAATAAATAATTGCACAATAATAAAGCCAACATAATTACTCTGACGAGACAGATATTGTGCAGGCAATGACTTACATGTGTCAAACAAATGTCTAAATGCTCACACTGCCCTGGCCTGAATACAGTTTCCTGTTTGGTTGGTTGCAAAGATAATCGCGTACACACACATGCATGAACAGATTAACACCTTGTAGTACAAAACCCTGGCTGCAGTGGTTGATCATGCAGTTGTCATTTGACATGTGGATGGAAACAGCTGTGGTTTCTTAAGGCCCCAGTCCCTCCTTTGATGCTGCAGAGGTGCTTGAGCTGAAAACTGCAAAGCTGAAAATCCTCTGATAACATCCGCACCAACACACAACAACAGAATAACTAAATAAATGCACACGCAGTCACTGAGAAACCTCTTGGACTGCAATTCAAGTCTCACTTTTGAAATAATAGTCTGCAAGACAATACTCATGCCATATAGGATGGATGGTAAGGTTGGACGAAGATTCCCAAGTTTATGACTTGCAAGTGCAGTGGTGCACAGAGTTGTGTCACGCAGACTCAATCTGGTGCTACACATAAAAAAACACATACAGCCCTAACTGTCATACAGTCATAGAAAATGAGCCACGGTGAGGAGGTTGGTTAGGGTTAGGGTAAGAATGTCAGGGTAAGCCAATCAGTGTTTGTGGACTTACATATGTACTGATTAACTCTAGTGGTCCCCTGCAATACTTATTAGTAGTAATATATTATTACTTATTAATAGATTTTAGAATGTGACTATTATATGGATATATTGTATAAAAATAACTTACTGCTCTCACC